AGGATATCGATAAAAAACTAATTAAGGTTAGAATTCTTATTTTAGTTTTATTTATGTTTATTTACTATTTCTTATATTATATTACTCTTAAAATTATTTCATAAATATATTGTTGAGGGGTTTGATAATTGTGTTGAATTTGGTTTTATTATTTTTTATATAATTTAATTAACAAAAAAATTATAAATATAATTCTGGATTTTACTAAATTCTGTATTTTTTTTTAAATTTTTTTATCAAGTATATTCGACAGCCAATGGCTGTCGATTATATAGTTATATTTGACAAAAAAATTTTTTGTCGATTATAGTCATTTTTTACTGCTGTTTTTACGTCAAAAATTGTTGTCGATTGTTTTTGTCAATTAAGATATAATCGACAAAAATACTTGTACAATCGACGGTATTTTCTGTCGATTATACTGTGTTTTTTAAGAGTGATATATAAGATAACCGGCAACAATGGATCCCACAGCGTAAGATCCAATGTGCCTATTCACACAACTTCAGGGTAAACTTCAATGATTCTTAGCTTGCCTTTGGCAAAAAGCTTTTATCCTTGCAATCCCTTTTTCGAGAGAAAAATGCTCAATTGCAAAGCTAATGCAAAGCCAATCCTTCATGCCCACAGTTATTCCTGCAAGATTTCTTGTCATTAACATTAGGGGGAAAAAAAATCAATTGTAGCACTCCATCACGGACAGGGATGTAGCTAGGAATTTATGTTGGAGAGGTAAAATTTTAAAATTTTTTATAAATCATTTATCAATTTATATAGTACAATTTATATCAATTTTTACATTAGTCATTAATTTTATTCATATACCACTTATATTATTCATGCTAAATTTTAAATTAATTGGATATATTTAACTATTTTTGAATGACATATAATTTAAAACCTTTAAATAAATAGTAAGAAATATAGTTTATTTTCTTTGTAAGGTTACATAGATCAAATTAATTTTAAATTTGAAACATATTTACATGAATAAAATAAATTCAACCATTAGTTTAATAAAATATGAATTATACAAATAAAAATTATATATAACCAATGTAATGACTTATATAAATTACATTTAATATAAATAAATCTAAAGTATTTTTTTTATATTTGCTTTTACTTAAATAAAATTATTGTGTCTTTATAAGAATTTGTCATAAATGATCCCTTCACCTAAGCCATAAATATTTTCTTTATATTTGAATGGTCCCTATAATTCAAATTTCAAAAATAAAATTATGTAAAAAAATAAAAATATTTATACTATATTTAACATTTTTCAAAAGTTGGGGGCGGTAGCCCCCCTTGTCCCATATGCTGGCTGCGTTCGTGATCAGGAAGAATAGGAGTTCAATATTTGCCTGGCAAAACCACAACAGATTATTCTCGAGCGAGCTTGAGACAAAAGTTAATATCATCATTAATGTCTTCAAGTAATGAGAGATTCGGTTTCACTTGTAACTTTATTTTTTTTTAATGGAAAATCCAACTAGCAGCACAAACCATTGATGATGAGAGGTTCAAATTCCTACAAAATAATTTGTATAAAATTAGGAACCAAATAATAGGAACATAAGACGTATGCTCAAGAGATAATCTTAAAAACATGAAAATGAGAAAGAAATACATGAAATTGAGATCATGTTCTTAGTACTCTCAATATTTTTGCAGTGTTTACAAAATAAGTCAATCTATATGATTTCTTAGGGTAATGATTTAAACAATTTAATAATTATTTCTTTTTAATAAAAGGAAGAGAGGTAATGGGTCTAAGCCACATGTCATATGAGTGAAGTGTGGTAGAAGAGAGAATATTGTTGTCTCTAGGGGTGGAGCCAAAATTTTTTCAAGGATTTGAGATGCTAGATCTAAAGTTGTAAATAAAGATAGCAAAAAGTATGCATTCTTAATTTTCAAGCTGTACTGTTCATTGTTTCATAAAGTAGAAATCACCTATAATCAAATCCATAGCACATTTTTATGCAATCTCATTTTCAATATAAACCATCATATGAATTTGGAGAGAATCAGTTTCCATCTTATTACAGTCTTTTTTGATGATCTTGATAGATGAAAAAGCTCATTTAATAGTTGTTGTTAACAAAGGAAGACTTAAAACAAGTTGAATCAATCTACCAATGAGAGAATATTCTTCTGACTTTCTCATTTCCACCAACACTTGACATGATTCAAAAATAGTTGACAAATTCTAAAACCTTTGATGTAGGTAGATCAAGCTTATAGTGTTGCAATTCATATTTTAGACAAATCTTTTTCTTTTTTTTTTTATTTGAAAATTTTGAAGGACAATGCTTTCAACAAGTTTGAATATATCATTAATATTGAATGATTTATAGTCATTGTAAGGATATAAAGCTAAGCTCAAAATAAGAAGTTATGTAGCTTGCTCATTGAACCTACAATTCAATTCTTTCATTTGATAATCTAATACAACTGTGAATAGATCCACTTGATAGTAATGCTCAACTATCACATCATCCTTTTTACGATGAGAATGAATTATGTCACAAAAAGCACTCATATCACGAATTTGGATGGAATGACTCTTAGAGAAAGAAGTGACATCATGTAAGAGAGTATACCAACCACTATTTCTCAGATCTTGATGTAAAAATTTTGTGCTAGAAGCTAAATGCATGACATTTAAAATATCTTGATTTTTATGCTAGAAAACTTAGCAAAGTTAATAAGAAATTCCCATGATTTCCCTCAATAAATGTGAAATGAAGACAAAAATCAAATGATAGCAATGACTTAAAGAGCAAAAATAGCATCACCTTGTTAAGAGTATGTGGATCTTTCAACAGCCACATTTTCAAGGACTAAGGTAGTCAGAGTAAACACTCGTGAAAGGTTGCATATTGGCTTAAAATGAGAACTCCATCTTTTGTCTACTTGTCTTTGTAAAGTGCCCAATTGATTGGCTCCTCTTCTTGTTTCAATCTCATTAACCTTCAAGCAAATGAGCAATTTCAAGTGCAAATATAACTTGCAAGAAGAAGTAACAATGTTAATTATATAAGTCAATATTTTTTTTTAAAAAAAGAACATCAACAACTTCTCTAATTGCAACAATAAGTGCAAGTTGTGATTGATTGATGAGCTAAGCAATGCACATAATAAGTATTAGGACATTCATAAAGAATTAAAGCTTGTAATCTATTCCATTTTCCATGCATATTACTAGCTCCATCATACTCTTGATCTCAAATATTTTAAATGCTTAGATTGTGAATCGAACAAATCTCTTGTTTAGGAGTCAATGCATTTGTGTCTCTAACATGTACCACATCTAGGAAATGTTACTTCACAAACCCATCTTAAGCAACAATTCCAACAATGATCAATATTTGTTCTCTTTTAGATTTATCACGAGTTTCATAAGCAACTAAACAAAACTCTGCATCAACAATCTTTTTACAAATTTCAACTTGAACCTTTCTAGCAAAAACTTGTAAAATCTCCTTTGAAGGGTTGGAGATATATATTTTGCATTTTGTGAGGCATTTCATAAGACTTCATTCACTTCCTTATTATAAAAAATCAAAAGATTGATTATTTCAAAAACAAAAAAAAAAAAAACCACGATTTTATGAATCCAAGCTTTCATCATGCCCTCTAAAAGCACAAGTTTGAAAAGTTAACTATCTAATAGTATCAACATAAGCTTTTGGATGTAATTGGTTCTTCTCAATCTATTGTGAGATTTGTTTGTGTATTATCCTTTGAACAAAACATGATTGATTTTTAAAATCTTCTAGGCATCTAACAACAATATTATGAACTGAATTTGGATTCTTTCCAATGTGAGCTAAAAATGCACATTTATCGCTATTATTAATTTTTTTTTCTAATTTTTGAACCCTATTGAAGTAAATGTCTTAACCCTTCCCTGATTCTCACTTGATTTTTTGGCAAACAAACAATGAAGAAAGCAAAAGGTAGCACCTTTCTCAAGTGAATATTCTAACCAAGGAAATCTTTCCAACTATTAAACTTGAAATTGATGATGATTTTCTTCTTGACCAAAAAGTGGATAACTAGGTGAGTTATTTTGATAGGGACCAAATTGTATATATGCCCTCTAAATTTCATCCTACTAATTGATAGGACAATTTGAAATTTTTTAACGTATTCTACGTTTATGTACCAAAGAAGCAATGTCAAATTTTCTCCAATTTCCAAAAGTTTGGATGAAGGTAACTCCAAATGAGGCACTGTATGTTTTTCTATACTAGGCACAAATTATGGATTTGAATCGATGCTACTAAAATAGATTGTGTGCCGCATTCATCATTACTTCTCTCTTTTTTCTTGAAAAAATGAATCAATTGTTATTTTCTTAGACATCTTCCAACCTTAAAAGAAAAAAAAAAATTGACCCATTATATGATTGAAAAAGTAAAATAATATTTGATAACAAACATGTCTTTTGTTCATTAAAGTTAATGGTTCAAATAAAATATTTAGAATATTGCATTTATAATTTATCAAAAATTTAACAATTACACAAAAGGTCAAAACCTAATATAAAAGGAATTAAATTATGATGAGAAATTCCAAAATGTGAGAAATTATAGTTTTTCAATCATTGGACAAAAGTAACTACTAAGAGAATAAGGAGAAAAAGAAAAAGTTACATATTAAAAAATTTCTAAGATACTCCTTGCTTTGGGTCAAATTGATTAGAGGAGAGAGAAACAAGGAAACATTGTCTAGTAATTTTGGGGACAACATCATTGAATTGAAAAAAAATTACTTTGAAAGATTGAATGCTTTTGAGGCGTAACTATCACTTCTCGAATTGTCTATTGTACCATTCTCTTTCAAGCATTCTGCTTAAACAGTGCACATTATGGCATGACTTGGAGTCCATCAAGTGTCTCCATGAGTCCAAGCGTCTTCATCACCAATTTCTTTATAGCTCTGGTTTCACAATATGGGCTAGTTGGGCTACTCAAATAATTATTATATGGCTTTGTATTATGGGCTCAGTAGCTACAATTTTAGCCTTAAAAATGGGTTGTAAAAATGGTATAAAAAATAAATGGCAAAAAATAAACTAAATAGTTTTAGAAATAAGGATAAAAAATGAATATTTTTCAAAGGGGCCAAAAAAATTTACATATGCTAAATTATAAAATTTTCAAAGTTCAAGGGAATAAGTCCCTTCCACTGTTTGTCTCGTTATATACAATTAAAAAAAAAAGATAAATAAGTAAATCAATAAAACGTGATTTGGTACGAAATGGGTGGAGAAGTTCACTTACTCTCCTAGATAATGCATCAAACTTTTAGATCCAATCTTACATAGATATTGTCCCACAAGCCACAAAGATATATATTTGTTTGGCTGCTTTTTCTTGATCATAAAGCGGCCTACAAAAGATAATGTATTCCACTAAGGACTTTCTAAGAAGATAGACTTAAAATTTAACAGAAAATACACATATAGAGATAGTGTGGAAGATGGACTTAGCCCATTGCACCCAAGAAAAAGTTAGATTCAATAAGTTGAATATTTTATAAAATTTTCTTACAAAGAATACTAGAACAACTTGTATTCATTGCACTTTTGCAACTAAACCATTAGAGTATGAGACATTGAGATCCAACATGAAGTTGTCATCTCTACCTTCCATTCTTGCACCTATTAGTAGGGAAACCTTATTTCTAAACCATTCAATCTAAACATCAACACAACCAACATTGAAAGTATTGTTAGATTGATAACTTAAGACAAATCTTATTATTGATTTTTTGCATGCCTTTCGCAGAAGGCCTCCATCCTTACAAGACCATCTTTGAGAGAAGGAAGCTCACATGCAATGCTAACACAAGCCCAATTCTTCATTCCCACAACTACACCTACCAAATTTTGTGTTATTAGCATTAGCTAATATTTCATATGAGTAAGATCACTGTTTGGATTTATAATTGAGTCATCATCATCCCTCTACAGAAGTTTTGGTGTTTAAATCAGTGACTCAATGCACCTAATTCCAGAAAGTAAAAGATTTTGAACATGTTTACCTGGTAAAATAATCACTAATTCTTCTTTAACTAACTTCGTGTAAAACTCGACATCATCACTAATGCCTTCCAACATTGATAAATTTAGTTTCACCTGTAATACAAGTTAGTAACCTAAAAAATGTAATTACTTTAAAACAAAATTAAATTACTTAGTTATATTACTTCTCTTACCATTGTAAACACAGATCCCTTTGGTTTATTCGGGCAAGTCATGCAAGGAATCTTATTAATCCTATTATAGCATATTTCTATAACCTGTCTTAGCATGTTAAGAATATTCGAAAGAAAACTCCTCCTTTACATTTTGAATCATTTTGGCAACTGCTCCCTACTGCATAAGCAAATTCACGTGCTTAATTTCAAGAAAAAGAACGAAAATAACATGAAAAATGCAAGACACTAATTTTCTAAGGATGAAGATAAAGGAAATTTGAGGGTTTCATAATTTTGTATAATGAACAACGTTGCTATCCATGAGAAATCACTTCATTATAATGTAGAAAATCAACTCGAACCAAAACATGAACAAATGTTGTTGGATCAGGGGAGATGTTCATGACTCTCATAATTGATTTAACCATCTGATAAGAATAAATGACATTGATAACATGGGTTAATGTTATGTCACAGGTTCTATAATTACGAAGAATTACAATATAAATAGAGGAACAGAGATAAGTTAAATCCTAGTTTCTTGGAGGATTCCATTTGGATCACTGGTGACAAGCCACCCAAGTCGCCAACCAAGGACAATCCATCTCTTTGATATAGCCCCTAAGGTGAGAACTAGCACAACTTAAGCAAATACTCGCATTGGCAAAAAAAGGTGTGCTCCCAAATGATATATGTTCATAAACTTCATATGTAATCACCAGAATCCTTAGCTTCCTTGTTATCTCTACAATCTAAGATTTGCAAAGTAGAAATAAACCATGAGACAATGAAGAAACAAACCAAATAAAGTGACTAGAGAAATTTAATGCTTACCGACCTTTTTCAAATGTTCATAGTTGTAGTTATTCCCATAGGGGTTGCCTAGGTTTATGATAACGATGGCAACGGTATTTTCATCTTCAAGAGCTTCAACAGCATCAAGATCAACCTCCCAACCCTTTTTGGGAAAAAGATCAAAGGGACATGCTTCAAGATGCTCTGAAGTAGTGCTAATTTCATAAAATGAAAAGCCTAGTCTAGGAAGTAAGATGTTGCACCATGATGGGCTAAGGCTTTCATTGCAACTTCTATTGGTTGTATGCATCCCACCGTAAGAAATACATCATCTGCTGATAGCATGTATAGAAGGTTTCAATTGAGATAATTTGCAATAACCCTGTTCAGAGTCCAATCAAATTAATTAGAAAATATGAAATCCTCTTTTTTTTTTTTTTTTGGTAATAAGAAAATGTGAAATCCTTACCATAACTAAAGGATGAGTCTTCTGCTTAAAATAAGGGTAGGGCCACAGAA